AAGCATCAGTTCATGCAGCTGAGGTCTGCACAGCGTTGTACAGCGAGAAGTTCCATTCCAGTCAAACCGGTCCAGAAGGCTGGCAAGCAGAGGGCACCTGATCAAGGCAAAAGAAGCAACAGCATCAGACCACATAGGATGGGTAGCTGTTCAACTCAGCAAAGAAAAAGAACACACACAGAGAGTTAGTTCTATAACAGCAGAGACTCCGGCGAGCCAGAAGGTAACAGAGACATGAGGGCTCCCTGAGACGTCAGCACCTCTCCGCTCCACTGTCAGCAAACCTGAGAGAATGTGTGAGAGCAGCGGGACGACAACACCAACACTCCAAGTTTATCATAATACTCTATGTCCATGAACCCCCAGATCTGCTCCTTTCATCTACAACCCCATTTCCATAAAAGTTGGGACGCTGTGCAAAATGTAAATAAAAATAAAAGGCAATGATGTGCAAATCATTTAAACCCTATATTCATTGAAAATAGTACAAAGACAACAAATCAAATGTCAAAACTCAGAAATTTTATTGTTTTTTGAAAAATATATGCCCATTTTGAATTTGATGCTAACAACACGTTCCAAGAAAGTTGGAACGGGGGCAACAAAAGGCTGGTAAAGTTGTGTAATGCTAAAGTAACACCTGGTGGTTAATTGGCAACAGGTCCATTACATGATTGGGTATAAAAAGAGCACCCCAGAGAGATTGAGTCTTTCAGAAGTAAAGATGAGGAGGGGTCCACCACTCTGTGAAAGACTGCATGAGCAAACAGTGCAACAATTCAAGAATAACGTTTCTCAACGTAAAACAGGAAAGAACTTTTGCTTTTCATCGTCTACGGTACATAATATTATTAAAAGATTCAGAGAATCTGGAGAAATCTCTGTATGCAAGGAACAAGGCCAAAAACCAGTATTTGCTGGCCATGGCCCTCAGGCGGCATTGCATTAAAAACAGACATGATTCTGTAGTGGAAATCACTGCATGGGCTCAGGAACACTTCTGAAAACCACTGTCTGTGAAAACAGTTCATCGCTGCATCCAAAAATGCAAGTTAAAACTCTAAAACGCAAAAAAAAAGAAACAATATATAAACAGGATCCAAGAAGAAGAATACTGCCACCTTCTCTGGGCCCAAGCTCATTCAAAATGAACTGAGGTGAAGTGGAAATGTGTTCTGTGGTCCGACGAATCAACATTTGAAATTGATTTTTGGAAATCATGGACACTGTGTCCTCTGAGATAAAGACCACTCGGCTTATTATCAGCATACTGTTTAAAAGCCAGTATTCATGACATTAGTGCACATGGCATGGATGACATGCACATCTGTAAAGGCGCCATTAATGCTGAATGATATATACATGTTTTGGCAACATATGCTGCCATCCAGACAACATCTTTTTCAGAAAAGGCCTTGCTTATTTCAGGAAGACAGTGTCAAACCACATTCTGCACGTATTACAACAGCATTGCTCCATATTAAAAGAGTCCGAGTGCTAAACTGGCCTGCCTGTAGTACAGACCTGTCACCCACTGAAAACATTTGGCACATTATGAAATGAAAAATACGACAAAGGAGACCCTGAACTGTTGAGCAGCTGAAATCCCATATAAAACAAGAATGAGAAAGCATTGCACTTTCAAAACTACAGCAGTCGGTCTGTTGTTTAAAGACGAGGTGATGAAACACTCCAACATGCCAACTTTTTGGGAATGTGTTGTTGGCATTAAATTAAAAATGGGCATATTTTTCAATAACTTTTTTCAGTTTTAACATTTGATTTGTTGTCTTTGTAGTATTTTCCTTTAAAAATATGGTTGAAAAATATGATTTGTACATCATTGCATCCAATTTTAATTTATATCCTACACAGCATCCCAACTTTTTTGGAAATGGGGTTGTAACAGGAAAAACTAATTACCAAAGGCTTGACTAAACAAGTGGGTTTTTAGCCTAGACTTAACGACTGAGGAAGTGTCTGAGTCCTGAACGTTGACTGGAAGATTATTCCAAAGTTGGGGGGCTTTGTATGAGAAGGCCTGATGCACCTTGTAATCTAAGTAGGCGTGATGGTTCATACTAAGAGATAAGTTCACTTGGATACTGAGGGGTGAGGCCATTTAAAGAATTTTGTAATCAATGTGAAATTTCACTGGCAACCAGTGTAGGGTTGATAAAACTGGACTGATATGGTCAAACTTTCTGGTTCTTGTGAGGACTCTAGCTGCAGTGTTCTGGACTAACTGAAGCTTGTCAAGGCTTTTGCTGGAACATCCAGACAGCAGGGCATTACAGTAATCCAGCCTTGAGGTAATAAATGCATGAACTAGCTTTTCTGCGTCCTGTAGAGACAATGCATTTCTTAATTTAGCAATGTTGCGGAGATGCAGGATCTATCACGACACCAAGATTTAAGTGTTTAAGTGTTAAATTACATAGTTTGTTTCTAGCTGCTTTTGGACCAAGAAGAAGAACCTCCATTTATCTGAGTTGAGTAGGAGAAAGTTACTCGACATCCAGTCTTTTACGTCTTTTATACAGTCCTCAATCTTGTTAAGTTGAAGTTTATCATCTGGTTTGGCTGATATATATGTGTGTATGTGTGTGTGTGTCATTGGCGTAGCAATGGAAACTGATGCCGTGTTTACTGATGATGGTACCCAGTGGTAACATATATAATGTGAATAATATAGGTCCTAAAACAGAGCCTTGTGGAACACCATACTTTATTTTTGCAAGAACAGACGATTCGCTGTTTACATTTACAAACTGACAGCGATCAGTGAGGTAAGATCTGAACCAGGAAAGAGCTCCTCCTGTTACTCCTACAAGGTTTTCTAGTCTATCTAGTAAGATAGAGTGGTCTATTGTATCAAATGCTGCACTAAGATCAAGGAGGACTAGCAAAGATATATTTCCTTGGTCAGAGAATAGGAGATTGTTTACAATTTTCACTAGTGCTGTCTCTGTACTATGATGTGGCCTAAAACCAGACTGAAATTTTTCATGTATTTTTATCTTGTGAAAATGTAATTTTTATCTTATGTAAATAGGAACTTAAATATATGGAAATTAAGCTGCAAAAACTTTCCATTTTTGCAATGTCATGAAAAGCAACACAATTACATATATCCTTCTATTCAACAGTTTAGCTCACATAAGGAGTACTGCCTGCTAAGTACTACTGTTTTGGTACACAAAGTCACACAAATGTTATGAATAGACCTTCTGAGAGAGAAAAAAAAATACAACACAAAAAATATACTATTAACCAAACAAAATCAAATTCTCTCTGTTGACATCACCCTGCCAACACAGTTGGGTCATTGTACAGAAACGTCCAGTTTTCTGTCTATCCAAAGGTGTCACTGGTGTTACTGATTCTCATTGGTGTTACACATAAGAAAGGTAGCACCAGTGACAGTAACACCAGTGACATTTTTAATGAAAAATGTATTTTACAAAATACCTGCTACAGAGCATCAAACCACATGTTGTCAATCATGGAATATCCACTAAAATATGTAATTATATCCATTTGGATTCTATTTTTTCACAATTACCTAAGAATAAAGTAGGTCATACCAGTGACTTCAACTAAAAGCTTCATATGAAATCATGAGCTAAATAAGAATATTTCTGAAAAGTGAACACAGTGGACTTACCTTATGCTTTTACATAGTTCCTCAGACAATAGGTAAAAAAAAAGGTCAAGTGATGTCATCAGTGTGATTTTTATTTCAAAGTAAGAGATTTTTTCTTACGTGGTAACACCAATGATGCGACTCCTGGGGACCACAACTTTCATTATATATTTTATATTTATTTGGCATTTGTTTTCTTTATGTCATTTAATTCATCTATTCCATTGCACTTTTTGCAGTTTAAATTTATTGCAGATTAATGATTATTGCAGTTAAAGTTGCAGAAAAACATGTTTTTTTACTTCAAAATACGGCACTCACCCTTTACACATGTCTGTGGGGACAAACACTTCTGTGGTGCTTGGAATTCTAGATAATTGATTTTAAAAACTATTGCTAAATTGATGGTTCAAGAAGGTGTAATTGTTAAAATAATGTATTGTTTTGTTTTAAAATGTAAATAAATTGTAACCCTAACATGTTTTTCAAGTGTAATATATGTGTAAACACTAGGGACACAAAAATGGACGTTTCTGTAGAATGACAGTTACATTGTGACATCGTTATGACAACCTACTGTTTTGATGCCCACAACATTGTCACAACGTAGTGGCAACATTGTCAGAGCATTGTCACAACCTCCTAGATTCCTCATAAGTTCCATTATGTTGTGGAATTTTGCTAATGCTAACCATACACTAGAAGACTTTGAAAAAACTCTGAAAAGACTTTTAATAGACACCCTCTCACATCTAAAGACAAGTCACAGACTTTTTAGTCACAGACTAGTCACAGGCTATGATTTTGCAAAGACTGTGGATCTTGCAGGGTCACTATTTGCAAGACTGCAACTAGATTCCTTTTGAAATTATTTCCCATCATGCTCCTGGTGGAATTTTACAGGAAGAGAAACTGTTGAACAATGGAGCAGAAACAGAAGCACCTTTTGGCCACAGCTGCCTTTGTGTGTGCAGTGATTTGTTCAAAAAAAACTGCCAAAAAGAAAAAGACAAGACATCGCAGAATGTGGACACGACCCTGGTTGTGTGAACGGAGACAGCAAGGTCTGTCCATCCTACAAAAAGAATTGGAGGTGAGTTATGACATTTAGCACACTGATTCATAGTATTCTCACAGTGTTCTGCCATACATAGTGTATGACTCAATGCCACAGCTCATTGTCCAAGATTGTCATTTAATCATGATCACCAACTCTCACCTAGTGTTTTGCTTACCAGCATGTCTGTGATTGAATACTATGAATAGATAGTTGTTTGTAACATCATCTATTCATAATATTTGATCAAGTGATGGTCATTAAATAACAATGGTGGCCAAAACCATAAAGCTGACATTATATTCAATTTATTGTAATACTATGAGTTAGCAGAAAATATATACACTCTTGGCATTTTAACAGGCAAATGACAGGACCAGCTTTAAGGAAATGCTCCGCATGACAGCGGAGGAATTTGACTTCCTACTAGAACGGGTGGCACCACTCATTACCAAGGAAGACACCAGGTTTTGGAAGGCCATCAGTGCAAGGGAACGGTTGTCTGTGACACTACGATTTCTGGCCACAGGTGTGTATCAACATGGGAGGAATTAACACTCCTATTGTATTCAGGTCAACACCTCCTTCCTTGGCTTTCAGTCCCCCCCTTCTTCACTCACTCACAGTTTACATGGTAAATTTGACCCAGTGGTTCTGAATGCTCCGATTGCAGGACCATAATGTAGGTCATGTTTATACCCTAACTCCCCACATTCACACAGACAAATATATGATTTGCCACAGTCAGTAATAACACAGTAAAGCAGCCTTTTATTGTGAAACGTGGTGCATGATATTGCCAGTTAGAAATCCTAGGTTTTTGCTCTCCAGCCAGCCTCAGATATTGGTATCTACAGAAAAATGGCATGATAAAAAATATACAGTACAAATCATTAGTAATGCCTCCATTCTTCCCTTCATCCCTCACTCTCAGAGAAGTGTGAAATGGTGAATCTAATCACATCTCTATATTTTTCATTTTGAAGGTGAAACCTTTCAACCCCTGGGGTTCCAGTACCGCATCGGCAGCACAACAGTCTCCCAAATTGTTCTCTCAACATGTGAAGCTCTCTATGAAGTGATGAAAGATGACTACCTTAAGGTAAAACACTAAAAATTAAACTAAAAACAAAAACACTGACAGAAAGGTTTATTCTACCAGAACATTTGTAATCTTACATCAGACTAGTGATGTACCAGTATGGGACTGAGAACATTGTTATTAATCAATTGTACTGCATATTATTATCATGATATTTTTTGTAGACACCAACATCTGAGGCCAGCTGGAGAGCTATAGCCAAGGATTTCTATGAGAAGTGGCAGTATCCAAATTGCCTGGGTGCCCTGGATGGAAAGCATATATACATACAGCCCCCTGGTCATTCAAGCAGCACCTTCTGCAATTACAAAGGCTGCTTTTCTGTGGTGTTAATGGCTGTTGTGGATGCAAATTATAAATTTATTTATGTGAATGTGGGGAGCCAGGGCAGGCTTTCAGACAGCGGTCTGTTTGCCCACTCTGACCTTTGTACAGCCATGCATGGAGGCCTTCTTAATGTTCCCAAACCAGAACCCCTGCCTAAAGCAACATTGTGATGCCTTACATGTTTATTGGGGATGATGCTTTCCCTCTACGGATTAACATGCAAAAGCCATACTCACCCAGACAGCTGGATCCTGACCAGAGGGTCTTTAACTATCGCCTCCCAAGAGTTCGGCAGGTAGTTGAAAATGCTTTTGGCATTTTGGCAAACAGGCTCCGGGTCTTCAGAACCATTATCTGTCTGGATCCAGATAAGGTGGTGAAGATAACCCTAGCATCATGTGTGATCCATAATTACTTGAGAGAATGCAGGTCAGAAGCCTACACACCACCCACATTGGCTAACTGGGAGAGTGCAGACCATGAGATGGTCCCAGGAGTGTGGAGGAAAGATGGCCAAGAGGCATTTCAAAATGTGGCAGCCTGCAGGGCACGCAATGCCACACAAAGGTCCAAAGAGCTAAGGGACATTATGAAAGACTACTTCGTCTCACCTCAAGGCCAAGTTTCATGGCAGGAAAGCCACATATAGTGTGTATATCAGTATGATGATTTATCAGAGGTTCCCAACTTTTGTCCCCATTCAACAGTGACCACCTGTGGACATTTTTTTTTCTGTCACACTGTAAGTTCTTGATAAGTTTTTTTTTAATAGAATACATTGTGTTCTAGTCTGCCTTTATGCTTCTTTTTTTCCTTTTTGCTGCACCCTTGTACTGCAAAGCATGTTTCACTGCTGTACATTTGCTTTTGTTTTACATAGAATTAAGGCAATAAAGAGCATAATTCTTGCAAAATGTGTATTTATTCAACTTTTCTTTGTATCAAAAATAACACTGCACAATAAGACAAAGTAGTGCAAAATAAAATAACTTAATATAGTAACTTTAAAGTGCAGTGCTACCCGTGTTCGAAATACTGTACCTATTACAGTAGGAACCATATAAAAGGCATATTAACTGCAAAATGTGTTATTTTTCAAATCTTTTGTAAACACATATCTAAAATATTCAACAAATAAAAACAGCATAGTCAGCCACACAGGCTGTAAAATAAACAAAGTGGCTTCTTCAGTACTGTAATGGTATCTTAAGATCAAAAAATGGAAACACCACATTTCATTTTCTTTTACATATTACATTGTTATTTCAATGCTTAAATTTTACATGATGTGGTTTTTACTATTTCCTTTACACTTTGGAGTGCAGTTTTTTTTGCACAGAACTCTGACAAATATACAAAAGAGTAAATAGCCCAAATACATTTAGAAATAAATGTAAAAGCACAATAAACTGTAGTGTTTCCATTATTTGCTCAGATACCTGTAGATCTACACCTACTGAACTGTACTAATCAACTTTACCTGTGCCATCCAGACACACATTTAATTTACAAAACAAATGTCACATTAGACCATTTTCAAACTTCACTCTAATGAACATAATGCCATCTTTTCTGAACATAAAGGGCACATTATGCGTTTCTATTTTAAAATTAGACATCTACCTCTGCCTCACTGTCCTCAAGCAGTTGCCGAAAACTTGGCTTGTGCTGTGGAACTTGAGGTGGAATATATGCGTGGTGGTAGGGTAATGGTGGTGGTTGAATTTGCATTTGAGGGTGTACTTGAAACACACCTTGGGGTGTGTATAGTACTCCTGCTTCTTTGTGTGCATGGCGGGTCATATTCTGATCTTGCTCTTGTATGTCATACAAGATAGTCATTATATTTTTCTTTGCTCTTGTTTTCAATGTTGGATCATTAATTTGTCTCACCTCAGCTGCTACCTGTTGTCCAAAGGTAGACTCTGTATCCTCAGGATTCTTGAAGCCAGACTGAACAGTTTTAGACATCTCTATAAGCATCACAAGCTTCTGGAGCTCTATGTCAGTCTCAGCAGATTTGGTGTTTTTCTGAGCTTTTTTGAAAGGCTGCCGACTGACACTGGGCTCAGATGCATTGATGGTAGGGGATGGGCTTGAAGATCTGGATGTGCTTGGTGTACTTGGTCTTGATCCAGGCTGGACAACTGTACTTTCAAGTGTTGAAAAGGGGATCCAGTGTTAGACAGGGATAGACGCAACACTTCATCACTATCATCCATGGATTCCTGGTCCTGTGTGTCTGCATGCTGCTCATTTTCTTCAAGCTGTTGGGGAAAACAATAAGTTTTAAGATTTCATATATCTGCTATATGATTATAAGCATCTAATTTCATCAGCATTATTCACAAAAGCTATCAAAGTTCAACAATCACATATAGAGAGAATCTACATAAATACGTGCAGTGAGAATGAGCCTGGAGAGGTACTTACAACAAGGCTGCTCCCACTGTGGCGTGGAACAAAAAATGGTTTCAGAAAGTCAAGGTTTCTCTTTAGCCACTGTTGCTTTGAAGAGAGGGGCTTGTCTCCACTTCCACTTGGAAGAGGTTTCAGCAGACGGGAATACTGTGTCCTCAAAGACAAACTCCGGGTTTTCTCCGGGTTCCTCTTCAACTGAAATAACAGCATAACATATACACTGGTTGTAGTAAAAGACTAATCCCTGAACTTTATCTTTCTGTTTTAAATAACGTGAATAATTGGAGGGCTATCCCTACTAACACTACAGTGTTTTCCAATAGATTCAAAACATGAACTAACTTGTGGGCACCTCTACAAATTAAAACCCCTTCCCACACACAAACACACGCCAGATTTATATGATTGAAGCCAACAATCTTCAGCTGACATGTACGGTTCCCTAGTAGGCTAATTGTAAACACTGCAACTATCGTTAAGTAGCCCCGTTCGGTACAGTGTTTAGCTAGTTAGTTTTAGCATAGCATACTCACCGGGGATTTCGAGGGCTTCAGCAATTTCTGTCCACCTTTTTTCCTTTTCCACTCTGTCGTGGTATAAATGGGAAGACACGTCAAAGAGACACTCTTGCTCACTCCACAGCTCCACCAGTTTCTCCTCCTTTTGTACAGTCCAGGAGAACCGCGGTTTCCGAGGCCTCGTCGGACTCCCCTCCATGTCTCATTTCTTTAACTTTACCCGCCAGACATTCCTGTGCTTGCCTTGCGGCTTCCCGTTTGACGCTGAAAAGAGCTCTCCTATTGGTTGTCGACAATGTTCACGTCACTATTTGCGTGAGCCAAGACTTAAGACTTACGATAATATTAAACACGGTTGATTTTATCGGAACGCCAGGACAAGAAAAAGACTGACTTAAGACTGCAATCCTGACCACCTTACACTAAACGATGGAGATGACGCGAGCGCGACGCAACTCTAGCAAGACTCTCATGATTTTATTCCGACATTGGAAATTTCTCTGCGACAGTGAAATCGCTTGAAAAGTCGTTTGGTGTAAGGTCGGCATAAGTTGCCAACAGGTTGTCATAACACCATACGGCAACGTTACTGAATTATGAAGTTGTGACAATGTTGTGACAACCTTGTTCAGACAACGTAAACAGCACCACCTTTTGACAACGTTTTTCACAATATATCTATTCCCTATCTTGTTTTGTATACTTTCCTTTTAATAAAAATAATAATAATAACCTGTCACCGAGCATCCAATAAACTGCGAGTAACCAACCACCTCCAACCAATGGCGCGCAGCTACACGCAGACAGGACGCTGGACGGAAGTAGATGCAGCATATTATTTGGCGTCACTCATATGTGCAGCGGCCTAACCTTGGATGAAAATTCAAATGTATTCTATTCACATATGGCTAAATAATTAACGACAAAAAGATAAATAGTAATACCGTTACGGGAGAAGCAAGGATTTGTGATTTTAGCGTAGTAAAATACCCATTCATCGCTCGTGAATCCCTTAGCTTACCGGAAACTATTATTGGAAGCTTTTAGGATTCGTATCCAGCCAAACACAGGGATGGAACAAGAAGTAACGAAATTAAGAAAACTCTCCTTTTGTTGTTGCTAGACGTCTCATTAGTACGGAAACTCGTTTACGTATTGGTAGCACGGTAAGCTATATTATTACTCACTTACATTTGTTTTGCTGCCCTTCATGAAGGCAGCCATGTCTTAGTCTACTATCGTTACAGTCTTACCTATTCATCTCACGTTTTTAGCTGTACATGACTTCTTTCATGTACCGTTCTTGTTGAAGTACTTTTGAGAAAAAATGGCTTGATGACAGGGCACTTAATCTATCGTCAAAAAGCCTCTGCACCTTTATGTTATTTCGGAATCGAGTTAATGTCAACAATATCAACTAATTACTTTGAAAAGCCCGTTTTAAAAGGTTGAGCTAACGCCAATCCTACAATGCCTATATAGGCGCTCACTGACATTTGTAGTACTTGTAGCCTTTTGCAGAACTCATACAACTCATAGAAGAGCCAAAAAAGGCTATGTATAACCTTTTTTAAAAAAATAACTATTCATTCTCTGCTGCATCATCGCTCTGAAGGGGCCGCCTTTCTTTGCTTTCATCATCAGTTCCGCTTTTTTGTGAGGAATGACCAGAGTACTGTTAAAAAAAACACACCTGGAATTCAAATGTATACAAAGGCGAGGTACGGGAATAGCACCGATATAGCAAAAAAGGTTGAATCGTCGTTGATTCATCGTTACTTCGCTATCTGCGCAGCTACTTTCTTAGTCCCACTGGTTAGCAGTTATTATATGTACCGTCTCCAACTTGAGATGGTGTTTATTATCAGTTTATCTGTTTTGATTCAGCAATGGTACTTTACAATATTCTAGACAGTTGTTTTATGGGTGGTGATTAACCAAAACGCAACCCTAATGTTCCTTATCCAGCAGTTCTTGTGATGATGCTGTCCAATCCCCTGACTGACCCAAAAGGCACACAGCAGGTGCCTACATCTGGAACTGGTCCACACCCACAGCCCACACTCTATCAAGACCTATTACTTAGGAATTGCAGAGACACTAGAAGGAGAAACTGTGGATCAGATGAGAAAATGCTGTACTCAATTCCAGAAGATCAAACACAAGATAAGGACCCTCTTTTCCTGGACACTGATGGAAAGCGTACACAGATGTCTTCAGAGCTGAAAGGAAGTGCCTTGGGAATCAGTCCTGGACAGAGCAACACCTATTTTCAAGCTGCCCCAGAGGAAGGTAAAGTATGCAGATAATTTCCTTACAGTGAAATTGCTCTGGCTTTTTAGCCAATTGTCAACTGGGTCATCAACTCATGTCACTTCACTCTCACTTCATGTCATGGATTTTCTTGAAAAAAAATAATGTGAAAACTTTTAAAAATCCTATAGCTCCACTCCAAGTGCTTTTTTTTTGTTATGATTTTTTTAAGTTTGGCCCTTTTCATCGTTTTTTGTGATTCTTTGTGTGTGCTATCTAAGCCTCACCAATTGCTTATTTTTACAGGATTGGGTTTAAACTTGTACTAAACATCCAAGAAACACTAAGAATAGTTTGCAACATGTATTCATATAAATAGTTTTTGCTGAATGTTTCACAGTAATCAAGTTATACAAATAAACATTTTTTACCTGAAAGAAGAATTAAAGTCCTATCAAATCTAGAAGTTATTTGGTCCTGCATAAAAAATTAAGTGTAAGATATTGCAAAGTATAGCTTCAGAGCTGGAAACCCACTTTTTAGGATATTTTGACTGTTTATTTTCCCAAAAAGGGTTATTTGAATTAGCTTGAAACCTTTTTTTTATAGGAAAGTGTTTATATTCATTTTGGATATATAAAAAATAGAAAGATGTTATAGAACTCCTTCACCATTTAATCATTTGTTGAAAATGGCTAATTTGTCATGCTTTCACTGGTGGTAATATTACATTCAGGTTCTTCAGTAAAGAAAATGGTTCTATATAGAACCATAAACACTCAAAGAACTCTTTGAATGATTAAAGGGTTCTTTGCATTGTGAAAGCGTTCTTCAGATTGTTGGAGAATGTATATCTTTTAAAGGGTTCTGTATAGCACCAAAAAGGGTTGTGATGATATCCAGCTTGTAACAATAGCAGAACCCTTTTTGGTTTTGTTAAAATTACTAATACAAATCTAGTAACATACAATTTCTTGTGTAATCCTTAGTTACTAAGGTAAATATAGTTAAAATCAGTTAAATTGGGTAACTGCTACAGACAGAAGAGTTTTGTGTCCAAAAGCTTTCCAGCATTCTTAGCAGTTTTGTTGGTTTCTGTTAATTCTTTTTTTTTCTAATTTATACATATAATTCTCTTTGCAAAGTGTTATTTTTGTGTCATAGCATACTCTCCTGTTAAATGTGAAGTGATGATTGTGTTTTTTCAGTTCAGCCTATCACCATGAACGCTAACAGAATGGAAAATATGCATTAAGCTATTAGAAGTCCTCAGAAAGGGGTGATTCTTGTCTTATCTAAGCCATTTATTTGTTATTGTACAAAACAGTCCATTTAAAATAATGGAGTTGTTTTAATTGTTGGCAATACATTACACAAAGAAGAATATTTGATTCAAGTTAACCTAATTAATTCAAGAGTAAGAAGAAAACATAGAGTATTGTTATATCTTTAGTCAAAATATTCTATATTGAAAAGATTTTGGTTTTATTTTGGGAGATAATCTACATCCCTTCACAATTATGACCTATTTTTATTGCTCTAAATTACAGTGGGCATTTTCAAAGCTAGAGGATGGGAACCACCTCCCACCTTCCCACCTGCTCCTCCTGCAGGCCCAACAGGAGAACAACTGGGTGCTCTGGAGAGGTTCCTCGTGGCCCATCAAACAGAGATGAAGCGCTTGTTGGCAGGTGCCCTGGGTTCCCTGACCCAGAGGTTAGAAGGAGTTGAGCGCAGGATGGAGCAGCTGCATGCTCAGAGCAGTGCACATGGAAACAGCCTAGCTGTGCTTCACAGCAAAGTTAACCATCTCAGAAAAGATATCTCTATTGGATATTCAAGTACACTGTCAACACACAATGTGGTCCCTGCCTGTGCTTATGGTGAGTTATTTTTATTTATTTATTTATGCTGGGGGGGCTCAGAAGTGTTAAGAAATGGTATAGTCTTCACTTTAAGAAGTGTCTCTGCATAAAAGCATCTGCATCTAAATATGTAAATGTAACTGTAGATCACATGTGTCAAGCTCCAGTCCTTGTGGGCCAAAACACTGCAGACTTCAGCATGTTGCCTTACATCTGATTCAGCTCATTAGATAATTAGCAAGGCCTTAATGAACTGAATTTAGACCGCCCTTTAGACCGCCTTATCTCCACCGCACTTTGACCCAGAAGGTCCCCAGTTTGACATGCCTGCTGTAGATCATGGATGGGAATTAATTGCTGAGTAGAATTATAAGTTCAATCACCAAACTTTGTAGGACTTTTCTTCTTTCAGGACCTAAGTTGCTCATCCCCATGCAGGTGGTAGGTTATGGTTAAGAGCTTTTTTGCAGCTCCAGCAGCCCTCAGAAAAGAAAAGATTTTAAAAAAGTATTTTTATTGTTTAATTGCGATTTTGGAACACTGAATGAAATTATGAGTTAATTTAAACAGAAACGGTTCTGCTTGAGCACTGCACCAGTTGCAAAGCATTGAAATAGCACCAGTGGGTACAGGAGACCAGAGAACGGGTTAGAAGAGTACTCAAAAAGAACAAGCAGTCAGTGTGTCCATTGACAATGTTGCAACACATCAAGGATATTACTTATGATAGTGTTTGTGTTTACAGAAAAAGGCTCAGATAAGTCAAAGGAAGACAGGGAAACGTCTACAGTCTCCTCACAGAGATCCAACTGTGTTACCTGTACAACTGCTCCTAAAGGAAGTAAGAACATTGTGCGTTCACAGACAGCAATGGTCTCTTCTACATACAGTTCTGATCCTGATTGTAACACTCAGGGGCTGAACTCCTTAGGCCTCAGTGGAAGCTCATCCCAACAGGAGGAAAAATCCTCAAGTCAGAGTGAGCGTTTGCAGGGTAACTACTCTCCTGTTTCAGATTTTCAGGACCTGGAGATGGAATTGGAAAACAAGGGCTCAGATGAGAGAAAGAAAGACACTGAAATTTCTACACTCTTCTCACAGAAATCAAGGTCTGTTACCTGTACAGTTGCCCCTGAAGGAAATAAGGACATTGTGTCATATAGTCCTGATCATAAAACCCAGTGTTTGAGCTCCTTAGGGCTCAGTGGAACCTCGCCTGGACAGATGGAAACATCTTCAGGACAGAGTGGAAGCTTCCAGGATAACTACTCACTTACTTCAGACTTTCAAGACCTGCAAGATGAGAAGAGACAGGTTGCTTTGACATTAAACAATTCTGTGCTAAGTAAGTCAAACAAAAGTGTGCCAGCGTGTTTTCTAAAGCTTCACTTCCCTGAAGGCTCAGAGCCAGGGCCACCATGTCAGTGTGATGAACGGTATGTTGCATCCAGTCAGTGTTCATGGACAGTGGCACAACCTGAGTTACCGTCCTTGACTGCTGTGGTTGGATGTTCAAAATGTGAGCCAGCCAGTCACCTTGTCCTGTTGACACATTCCATGAGAAACTCGGATGAAAATTGGTCCCATTGCATTGCCCGGACTACTGTCTCCCCGGCAGAGCAGCTAGTGGCACAGCCTACTAATGAAAAACCAAAGGTTTGTTCTCTTCCCCTGGTCACTTCTCTGCCTATTGGAGAACAGGATACCAGATCGGGTCCATCCTTGTTCTTGAACAGCCTGTCAGTCTTAAAAGACATGCCAATAACAGGTGAGGGATTGCTTGCTTGTGTTGAATATAAACCAACAGGAGACACTAAAAAACATGATAAGAGATTGGGAGAACAGAACCTGTCTAAGGACATGAGTTTTCAGCACTCCTCAAAGAATGGTACAATGCCCTATGTAAGGTTAAAACACCCTGTCCACAGTAAATTACCAGCTCTTCTATCAAAATCTCATTGCATGGTAATCAACTCGTTGGTGCCACATGTGAACTCTTATAAGGCTTGCTATATATTACCTGATTTAAAACTGGCTGCTCCAAAAAATGGACTGTCAAAGCTACTTCAACTGGAAATATCTAAGTGCAATACGAGTGAACTTCTGAATCAACTGTCTGACACTGCCTGCCGCTTGATGCCCCTTAGCCTCTCTACCAACATTGTCTTATCCCAAAGTGGTTACAGGATAATTAGTTCCAAGCTCAAACACCACCAGGGTCAGGCCAGTTCCACTTGTAGCTGGCCTTTACTGAAAGCTGGCAAAGTCCTGCCTCTGGTGTTGCTTGGAGATCGTCATCATTCTGTTTTGTCAGAGAGTACAGCTCTGATCCAGACTTCTCATACTCCTTCTCTCCATAAGCTGTTGGATAGAGGCGCTCGTTTGACACAACTGCTTCGGACTGCTGCACATTTCCCCATGTTCGTTTTAAGTAAAGGCAACATCTCTGGAGCTGGGCTCGGCACAGTGTTGGCTATGTCCTCTCCTACCTCCTTCAGACTCTGGTTTCGCCACAGACGCCTCAGCTGCCCCTTCCCATTCTTGTCATCATCTTCTGTCGATAAAGTCATGAGACAGATAGTAGAGGAGAGCAGGTGTCATCCTTTTCGACCATTGGTTGACTACACTGGCACACCAGGTCTTGATAATGATCACTGGTGAGTAAGTTTGTGTCCTCACTTCTGTGTTTTATATGAAAGATATAAATTTATGATGTGCAATAAAATGCAATATTATGTTGGCTATTGCATTCTTGCCATATTGGCCCGATGTTATGTTAAAGAGTTCCTAAAACTGAAAGCATGCCTGGCTAAATGCGTCGCTACTAAAATTAAAATGATTGACTTGAGCTTAACTGAATCTTGCTAAACGAAAGTTTATGTATTTAGCACTTAGAGTAATTTGACTCATCACAGCATAGTGCTTGCATGCTGCTTGGGCTCTGAAATCAAAATTTGAGCTGTTCTGATCCTCGTTTCTGTTGCATTGGTAGCTATGCCCGGCGATCCAGTCAAGAGGCTTCTCCCAGCAGGAAAAGGGCTTCAGCACGGTGGGCAAACCTCCCAGCTGCATATTAGACTGATGCAAATGAATATCTGGGCTTGTTTGTACCGTGGTTTTTGAGAAGTACAAATTTCAATATAGATGGGCTTCGCTGTGTTTCAGTCTAATAATCATTTGTGCTTTAGTGAAAGTGCAAGGAGCAATGATTAACATATTTGCTAACCATGTTGCACTTGTAATTAAAATCCTGCCTACAGTGTTAAATGAATTTTCAGTACACACAGATTTTGTTATTTCAACTTAATCATTCGGTATGTATATGGTTGTCTTTTGTCGTTTTATACAGCTCAATTTGTTTCTTGTTTCAATCGGTACAGGAAGATGTCCTCACCTCCATCCCCATATCGGCTCACAAAGATTCATCTCACCTCAGAGAGGAACTCTGTTTACCCTGCACAGCATAGCTCCAGTCCCAAATGCGTGGGGTTGGATAGGTGCTCAGTTGAACCACTGCAGAACTTTGCCATCATTGGTGCAAATGTTAAGTACCCCTGCCTCCACAACCATGGTTCCTCCAGGGAGAGCAGCCAGGTATTTTCTCTTTTAGCAACAACCTTTGCTGTCCAGCAGTAATGTTTAGTATAAGTTCATTTGCCTTACAGATCAGTTTTAGCTGTTGGACAGTAAATAGTATAAATGATGAATCTAAAAAACATCACAGTTAGTTACTTATCATTTCTAATTTGAGAGATTGAGCAAAAGTGATGAGGATTGTAAGTACAGCTTATTTTTCCAGTTAGGCACACCTGTGATGTGTTTTTGCTTTAGGTGGGGCTTTATGATTCAGATTCTTCTACACAGCCAGGACAGCGGTCTAAAAGAGTTTCCCAGATTCGCATCCGCAAGACTGTGCCCAAAGCAGATAACAACCTTACACCAATGGGGCTCCCCAAACCAAAGAGGTCAGTAACTGGCAGGCCTGACTCCTGCTTCCTTTGTACGTTCTCTAATTTATTTGTAAATTAGGTGTTGAATAATAGTTTTATGATATTCTTCAGATTAAAGAAGAAAGTGTTTAGTCTGGAGGAAATTTACACCAACAAGAATTACAGATCTCCAACACCAAACAGGTTAGAGCTCTCCTTCTTGATTAAGGCGTTTGCTCGTTTCTTTCAAGTGTTCTCAACTCTACATCATCTGAATATATTTTGAAAAACAAAAGTAGCCTTTTACATTTTTTTAGTAATTGAATTTTATTTATTTGCAAAGGGATTTACATGTTGTTGTTTTTTTTTTTTTAAACTATTAATGGGTCTTGTTTACATTCTCACAGAAGCCTGGAAACAATCTTTGAAGAACCAAAGGAGAAGAATGGGACATTGGTGTGTATTGGCCATCAGAAAAGAAAGCGTGTTTTAGACTTCCCAGATTTCACATTGCCACGAAAACGCAAAGCGAAGGCCAACCTGGGTTCCCTGCGCATGAAAATCCCTCGGGGACGGGCTCGTAGGGGTAAAAACGAAGATGCAGACCTGGACATCATGCTAATTGAACGACTTAGCGAACTGGAGGACTTCTTCTCCCGCCAAGGACTGGAGGGCTAATGCCAGTCCTTTCAGTCTTCACAAATCAACACAAATGGCCTGGTGAATTCTGATTTTTGCTAGCATTCATTTTGTTTATCACTTCATTGATTTTTGTCTGACATTAAACGAGTAGTGCTTGTGCAGATTTGTGCCAATCCCATTTGGGAAAAGAGAAGATATTATTTCTCTGGAGAAAAGCTTCAGTGCAGCTTTTTCAGTCATGTATTTGATCAAAATGTAACCAAAAATAATACTGCATCACCAGTCCTAATACATATCCATTATTATAGATTCTTATTTGATTTCTGTGTCCCTTATGTGAAATATTAGAAACAGTCAAACCATTACTCAACAGTTTGGTCCTGCTATAAATGACAAAAAAATTTTTTTTTTCTTAATGCCAGACTTAATCCTTAGAAAACACGACGACAAATATTCTTCATTTCCAATTGTGAAAATATTGCTTGTGGCTATTAATTACATGATTTCTCGGTTCAAAGACTGACAAAGATGTAGACTCTGCATTACTGTTGAAAGGAAGGTTACTGTGTTTCCACCAGCAACTGTGAAATAGGGGTACTGAGCACAAGTCTGATCCACAGTTATAGAGCTGCGTTTGAAAGCGGGTTATAGTCACCCATCACACCTGAGCACTTTCCACCTCCAATCTCACCTTGCTTTGAGCAGCATGTCTGGCATTTCTCCTTATCCACAAAATGCATACATAGGACAGCTTCAATAAAAATCAAGCCTGTTTTTCATTCTTGAAGCATTGATTCAGTAGCCTACAATAGCTTATGCTTTGGACAGTTGGATAAAATTTTAAAGGGACTGAGCAGAAGGTGCTTTTCATTGGCTTCAATGCTACTCTGGGATCAATGCCATAGCTACCTTACCACTGTCATTACAAAAAAAAATATATATATACACACACACACACACATAAGCTCACCGGACAAAAAAATGTGTCACCTGTGACTGAAAAGTACCTAATAGCGTGTAATACCTCCACTAGCACGAATAACAGCTGCGATTCGATTTGCCATGGACTGGACAAGTTTCTGGATGTAGGCGACATCAACGTTCAGCCACTCTTTCATCAAAGAATTGTGTGGATCCCTTCCCTGGCATCTTACTCGTTGTTCCATCCACTCCCACAGATTTTCAAGAGGATTCAAATTTGGGATTTTGCAAGCCAGTCCAGATGTGTGAATGCTCCTGAATGTTCATCATGCCAGTCAGTCACATTTGCAGCTTTGTGAAAGCTAGAATTTTCATCTGGGAATACAACGATAGGAATGTTGTGTTCCTTGGTAAGATGATGAGCAAAAGGTAAAACCTGGTTGTACAGCAGCTCAGTGTAGGCACTGTGGGTCAAATTTACCGTCACCTCAACCAAAGGACCCGTTTCCACGTAACTAAAACACCTGCAAAACATCACAGAGCCTCCTCCAGCTTCAACCACACCTTGCACGCAGTCCTCATTGAAAGCTTCCAGAGTTCTATGATGGACACGATGCCTCGCGTCATTTACATACAGGTTGAAACAAGATTAATCTGACCAGATAACATGTTTGCAGTTATGAGCAATCCAATTTTTGTGTCTCTTCACCCACTGTAACCGGGCAACTTTGTGAGCAGAAGTGAGCATGCCACTCTGCTCGATAATGTTCATGGTATGCATTTTCATGTGGTGTTCTTTCAGAAATTGATTGTGAAGGACCTGTGTCAACTTCTAGACGCAATTCTTGCCTGGAATCGAAGCAATTTTTATTCACAAGCCGTGAAACATGATGGCAGTCCCTGTCCATCAGTTTCATCTTTCGGCCACAATACAGGAAATTCTTGTCAGAAGACTGGGATTTTTGCCACTGCTGGTAGTTTGACCGTATGCTTCAGTACACCTACAAAGTCAACTGCTTCCTTAACACTTTGGCCTTTGGCACACCCAAATGCAGTCACTTCTTTTTGACAATCATTAACATCTGCTTTGCGACCCATTTTCCACACATCGAACGAGACATTTACTGCACTGTACCACCTCTTCTCAATCCATGAATCCTGTCGCACACCCCACAGGTATTTGTAGCCTGACCTTCTATGTGCAACGGAAGGTGACTAATTTTTTGTCCAGGGAGTTTATACATACACACACTTATAGCCACATGCAGCAATCTGCAGGTTCAAGCACAAATTGGCACAATGAGGCATTCTGCCATTCTGCCCAGTGAGGCTTAACAAAGGCGTAATGCAGTTTGGGCATTATTTACAGAGAGAGGATGAAAAAAATGCAATTAAGTCAGAGTTTATCAAAAGGTCTTTATTTGCCATAATTGTTGAGCGGTGGTTTTTAAACATGATACATTCTTAATTTCATATATACTGACGCATGCCATAATGAGGCCATTGCACCCATAAGGGGCCTTTTTGGCATAGAGGAGCTAAGTGAAAGTAAGTCAGAATTTGTCAAAAGGTCTCCATATATTATGATTATTGATCCGGGTCCTTCAAAAAAGATGTTCACAGAGTTTTGACCTTTTGACCTTAGTATAATAAGCTGCAGTCTTTCAATGAATAAGCCAAAATACCACAGAAGGGGTCCAATGTCTGACATTAAATGTAATTGCAGAGTTATTCAGATCAGGGAACTGAATCAAATGGCACAAATAGTTTATCTGTAGAGTGCATAATTTTATTTTTAATAGAGTTTTTAATGATTTGGTGTTTTTGTGCACGAAAGTGCCCCTTAAGGCCAATCTGGACTAACTTTGCACACCTCATCAGAGTCTCAATTTATAAGCGTGTTTTCAATTTTGAGATAAGAAGGCCAGCTGCTGATGAGTTATAGCAATTTAAGCTAGCAATGCCATAGCCGCAATGATTAATTGATAGAGGGAGACTATAATAAATAAAAAAGTCAACATTTTTAGCAATTTTTACCTAAAGAGGCCACAGAGTATTTCAAGACCAGTTTTGAAAAGTTCAGATCAAAATCCCGGGACTAGTTTGAAATGTATCATTTTCGAACAGTTGACAATTGCAAAATAATGATGTATTTTTTATACACAGGTAATTGCAAAGTTGTTTGGCACACTGATAGGTGATCTCAAATCAGCTATCTGACAGTAAGTAGAAATTTGTATAAAAAACACTTAAATTTTATGCAAAGCACCCTCTAGTGGCTCTGGTTGTTAGAAAGTGCCTACCTAGACACAGCATTCAAGTTCCATGATGATTGGGCAAAGTTAAGCCTTTTAAATGCCTGCTGACAGCTAATTGGCTGCTGGCAGCCATACATTTTGATGTATTAAGTCGTCATTGAGAAATCTCTTATAATTAGTCTACAAGATGCAGCAAACAAAATTTCAGCTTCATCAGATGTATGGATGCTGAGAAAGTTGTTTAGCAGTTACAGTACCCCCTGAGCATGTACATGCACCACAACTGACAGACTACATCAGAACTGACTCTTGAATAAACATGTGAAGTTGCAAAAAGCATGCTTGACTTTTTTTTCCAAAATGGTTAATTAGCATATGGTAGCCATATTTCTTACAAAGTCAACAAGTTTTTGATGATTATTGAGGTTCAGACTGAATTTTGAGCCAAGAAATCTGGGAAAAAATGCAGTTTGTCTCTAAATATTTTGGGTTAAGTGTTAGGAGGCAAAATGCATTTGGCGGCGCTATTGCACCCCCTTTTGGTTAGTTGGTTTAGTTAGTTGGTGTCTGGCTAGATGCATATAAACTACACCTGCACTCCAAGTTTGGTGTCTGTATGACTTATGGTCTATTCTGCACAACATGTTTTAGGAGAAAAAGAATAATAATAAAAAGAATAAGAAGAAAAATCTAACAATTCCAAAAGGATTCTATGCACTGCGTGCTTGAACCCAAAAATAAAGGAATCTGGCCAGAGAATATCCTTTGAGAGTTTACCCAATAACACAGAGAGACTAACTGTTCCAAAGTGTACTAATGTTTACTGTGAGTAGGTACTAGAACTTTATTTTGTTTGTATTTAGCAAGTATTGATTTCCATTTTGTATTTTGGTTGTTTGTGGATGTTTTACTGTGAGAAATTGTGCCATTTATTTTAGCTTCTTGAACAGGGGTGTCAAATTAAACAGCCATGCAGTGTTTAGTGTTTCCCCCTCGTCTAACACAATTGAACTTGTAAAGATAATTGTAATTATCTGATAATTGAATCTGGTGTGTTAAATGAAGTAAAATGCTCAGTGCTATCCCCTGACTGGATTTTGACATGCTTGTTCTGGAACAGAAGGGTCAAACTCTATTCCTTCCAGGTAACAGTTCTGCAGTGTTTTCCATCTTCTAACAGTCTGAAGCCTGCTTAGAGTAGAATGTGGAATAGTTTCTTTCCCTGTTTTGATTCACTTGCAGACCAAATTTAGTTATCAGCTGTGATGCGACTGAACGTTTTTGGGTGGGTACTAAAGTTTTGGCTTGTTTAAGACTTTTTATGATTCTTCCTGCTATATAGGTATACTGGTAAAATATGCAGCATGTTTGTTTGTTTTTTTTGCTTTTTATTTATTTATTTAATTTTTTGGGCTGTTGTTTCTTCTCTGGATTTGTCAGTTTGTCTAGGAGCTAAAGCTGCTAAATTCTATGATGTTTAATTTTAGACATTGATTTGACATGGTCTGAGACCTGTCAGTAGTATGCACTGCTAAGCAACACCGTTGCCACCTGAGCACTCAGTTTGTACTTGGAAAATGTTATTTTTTTCTAAATTTAAGCTGTATTTTTTCCCATGTCTGGTTAACTATCAGCCATTCCATCTTTCCATCAATAGGTTTATGGTACTTACTGTGAAGTAGCAACAACACAGCATACACAGAAAATCCTTGCTAGTTATTGCACCCAAGTTCCTGTTTCAATGTTGTTTTTAAAATTCTATTGTGCATCATACAGCATATGCTTCCGTACTGTATTTTTCTTGATAACTAGTATATGCATATTAAAAACAAACAGGCCTTGATTACAGTATTAAAATGTCTGTTTTATCACAAAAATTCACAGCATATATCAAAATCATATTTTCCTTGTAATATAATATTTGTTATTTAAGGAAGTACATAGTACCTGTGTTTGAATTTACGTAGCCTTTAAGTTATTACATGTAGCTTTGGCCATTTAGCAATAGAACCCCAAAAAGGTGAGCCATTGTGAAGAGGAACTTTTTGAAACTATTGAGAGGGTTACTGTATCTAGTCATATATTTGACACTCTCGCTGATTTTATAATTTAAAATACGTTAGCGCTTCATCTAGAGAGAACAAACTTAAAAATAGTTGTTTTTTTTTTTTTTAAATGCAAATTTCAGTGCTTTTTTTGCAGAGTTTAACAAATTGGAAAAAACTAAAGCATAAAATATAAAATGTGTTTTTACACAGGACACAGTTTTATTTTTCCAACATGTCAAATTCCACAAATAGTAATTGTGCTTTGAAATGTGCAGAAGTGTGGATGGCATACTAATTTTCATTTAGAAAAAAATGTGATTTGAGAAGGGGTGTGCAAACTTTTGCATATGACCGTACAATGGTATGGAGTAAAAGTAATATCTGGGATCCCTTATTTTATGATTGTGCACTTTTTATTTGACATTTTATTCCCCCACTTTCTTAATACATCCATTCAGTGTTAGATATTAGAGATATTGATCAAAAGTTTCTTTATTTTGCAATGATGCAAAACCACACTAAATGTATAGCCTAATTATGACTGATTGTTGTAATTTTTGTTTTGATATATGTTTTATGAATAAAAATGATGACATGACTGTTTTTTAGTTCACACATTTTTGATGACAGAGAGAACCTGTTTACGCTTAAATGCTTGTTACAACGGCAAAGCTTCTCCAGAATGACTAAACACAGACCACATAAATACTCCGATACAGTAGATGGCGTCACAAGCAGAGGTAACAGCAGAGAACTTGTAGAGATGAGAATTACCACTCTGCAATGTCTTCTGGGTTTCTCAAACGCTAGAGGGAGCTCCAGAGGGAGTCCAAAATGAATGGGTTGAGAGGATTTGAGCAAAATCATAGTTTATAAATGTTTAAACATTTTTAATATAAAAGAATACAATCACCTCCTGAACACTGAATAGCATAAAACATTTTAACACTGCTGTTATATTTTTAAGAGCTTTGAAACGGCACCTCATGTATGTCCATGGGGTCTGTGAACGCTAACAACCAACGAGCTACTCCGCTCGCCAACCAGTCAGCACTCACTAGCAGTAATGCCCGCCTTCTGCTGCCCAAAACCCGTTTTCTGTAGGAAAAATGAAATATATAGGTAAGTTTTCTTTGCTTTTTTAGGAAATACATCCTTCTACTTTCTAAAATAAAAAAAAAAAAATGTGTCACTGTTGTAATTCAGTTGTGTGCTAGCTTTGTTGTGTTTGTTTACGAATATATTTAAGTTTACAAAAGTCAGGCACATACATATCTGTCTCTGCCTTTTGAGTTACCGCCCAGAATTGTTGATTGACGGCTGAGATACGTATGATTCATCCAATAACACTGCGAATACCGTTACCGGAAACCAGGGCAAGTAAGATCCGGACAGGGATGTGAGATTAGGCACCACACCGGAAACGTGATTAGGACTACGCAAGGTATGTCATTTCCGAAATCGTTTTTTCGAAATTCATGCGCATGCGTCGTCCAAATCGAATTAGAGGATGTACATTATTGCGCATGCGTAGTCCAAATTCGGTTTCCGGTTCAAATCGGGTAGTTTTTTGGTAGTGTCACCCTCTTTTCCCCCGCCGTTCATGCATACGACTAAAATGGCGGCTTCTTTGAGCAAGGTGTGTTCTTCCCGATTTCCAGGGACGCCAAGAGGGCTTAGGTGAATGACTGTTTATGTGTTAGTAACTGCAAGCAGTAGCATTCTCAGTCATGCAGCAGTTTTTGGTTTCACTTTAGAAATATACGGCTCATGTGGTTAACTGAAACTGACAGACTACCTGCGCTAGCTAGTTAAAGTCATTGCATGCCAAGGGTAGTGTAGAAGGAAGCTAACTTTAAGGGTTCTTTAATCAAGAAAGTGGTTCTACAAAGAACTATAAACACTCAAGGACCATTTGCACGATTAAAGGGTTTTTTACATCATGAAAGAGTTCTTCAGAATGTGCTGTAGATAGTTCTTTTTAGAACCTTATTAAAATCGTTTTATATAAGTTTAGGTGGTTAGTGGTTAACATTACATTTATCCTTATTTACTTTAAGGGGTTAACATTTCCAGACTATTTTCTGAAGCCCAATAGTCCTGGACTCAATTTTACAAAATGTTTGTACTTTTATCTTCTAACTTTATGCAGTACAGCACTTTTCCAGCATCAGATATTTGTTTGAATTACTGATATTACTAAAGCAGGACAGTGAACAATCTAGTGCAGGATATAGATACGGATAACAACAAAAAATAAATAAAAAGTAAAGGGAAAGATAGAAAATTAGTAATACCGTTCTGTCATTTTAAAGTCTACGATAAGTTAGAATATTTTTTTGCTGTGCTCCATGCATTTGAGAGGCAAAAAAGGTATATATTTCTGAAAACTGTGGTAGTGTGGGCTTGTCTTTCTAAACTTTGCTTTGTGAAAAAAAAATTGTCCAACAAAAAAAATATCAGCAAGGATTTCCGTTTTTGTCTCCTCCCCCAGTAAAGGTACAGTGCAATACACTCGCCAGCTTTAGGGATAAGTATGTTTCATTTATGTATCCCATCCTCAGCTTTGATAATGTCTGAAAGTGTAATGTCTGATAATGTAATGTCACAACAAGGCTTTCACACGTCAGTGTTATTTGTTTTGACCCTGCGGGGTTCGCTGGGCTCTACTTTAGAAAGCTGACTTTGTTAGCTGTGCAGAACCCCAAGTAAGAAATTTTCCAATTGGCATTTAGTAATTTTAACATAACATAGTAGCATAGCACGTAAATATTAGTTTGTGCTTCACAGTAAAGGAGTGCAGCAATAACCTTACTTTAAATGTTTTGCCCCGTCAAAAGGTGAAATGGAGATTTTAACTTTGCTAATGAGTTTTGACTATCTGTCTGTTTGGGCGTATAGGTCAGTGATCTATGTGGTTTGGAAGAGTTCCCCACAAATTAGCAGCCTGAACTCAATCAAAAAGTGTAAACACCAGCTAGCCCCTGTTGTGATCTGTATTTATCAGACTACATGCACCAAATTTACCTGAAGTGAAATTGCATTTTCTGAGACATATTCAAACAGTACATCATCAAACATCATGTTTTAAGTAGTCATGGATTTTCAAATCTATATGGTGAGATCTTAATAAAGAAAGAATATAAAAACTGAACTTCATCTGTATTGTAACTGATTGGAGCCCCAAAACACTGAAATTAATATTGCTTAAACAAGTTTTAAAACTTTTTCCTTTATATGATTTTAAATGTAAATGTTTTCTCTGGTGCAGTGGCCTGCTACTTTTCC